GAAACAGCATTTGCCTTCATCTCTGTTTTAGTTAACCTTGCACTACAGTAACTTGTGCAGTTCGGTAGGATAAGAGCCTGCTGGATCAGGGCAATGGGGCAATGGCCCTTCCAGTCCAACATCCTCTTCTCACTGTGTCCAACCAGAAGCTCATGTGAAGCTTGCAAGCAGCACATGAGCACAACAACACTCTGCCCACTTGTGATTCCCAGCAATTGGTATTCAGAGAAATACTGCCTCTGGCAGTGTAACTAGAGATTAAGATATGATGGAGGCAGACCAAAATACTTATATATGTAGATGGCAAGCCTTTCACACTTTCACTTATTGAATGGTTTTTGGAACTTACTAACAGCTTCAGTGAAATGTCAAGATCTCAAAATTAACTGGAGGAAAGTAGTACAGCAGGTCCCAATCTGCTGGCTAAGTAGCTATAGGATTTGGCAGAAGCACCTGGAGACTGGCTTTGGATGCAGAAGGCCCCTGCTGCCTTTCCTGGGAGAGCTGGGAATGTCCCCCACCTAAAACCCTGGAGACCTGCCTCCTCTTAGTGTAGACAACACTGAGCTAGATGGACTCATGGTCTAACTCAATATGCGGCAGTTTCTTATGTTCCTAGAATACCAGACACATGGCCACCATGACAGATGTACCAGAAGAACAGCCTTGATACACCCAATGAACCCAGCAAAGGTGTGTCAGTGGAACAGTTAACTGGGGGAGTCATTGCATGGACGCATAGCATGGACTCTGTATCCTACACTCCTTTAATGGTAGCATGGGCTTCTGCCAGCAGAGTGAGGCTTCTACAGATTCCTAAAGCTCTGCAGCTGGCAGACTGTGAATAAAGGATTGTGTACTTTGGGTCCTTAGGTTCAGTATGGCACAATCCAATTCGGAACATGGGAAGGAAAGTCTCTACTGGGGGGAGGGAAGAGACCTTTGAGGATGTTACCAGTAACAATGGTGTTCTGCCAAGTTTTGTAGCATGGCAAAACAGGTGTTCTTTGCCATCCCACATAGATGGCATTACTTCATTTGCAGCTTATACATCTATTTGACAACAAAACCCAGTGTGAGATGCTTGTGCAATTTCAGAGACTCCATCAGCAATAGAACTATTACAAAATACACCAGAACCACCTCACCCAGTGGTGGCAGTTTATGATGCGTAATATTTCAAAAGCACGTGGAAGCTTCGAGTAAGGAGTTCAAAAAGGCCATTCAGCCTAATCAATGGAAGGCAGTGTTGCAGCCCATTACGCAAACAAGACTGAGGATAAGATTATAATTAATACAACTCCAAATTATTTGCAGTGTTTCCTGGATGCCTCAGTAACATGCAGTGTGTGCTCAATTTGTGCATATGCTATGATCACATAAACCTGTTTTATCATTTCTTCAGTGAGGTGACTGGTGTTGAATGAATCTGATTTTGAAGAAGGTAGTAGATTTTAAATATAACTATCATATGTACTTAGATAGTTTGAGTGGTCCCTATTCAAGCATTACTGTCATAGAGTGGTTGGAAACAGAAGAATAATGGGGGAACCAGATGGGGAACCCGCAAGGGAAGAAGACTTAGAACCTGGGGATTTGTGGTGGGGCAACGATGGGTGGTCAGAGCAAGATGACTGGGAGGAGGTGTCAGAAGCTGAAGAGGTAACAGGGCTTGGTGAGCTAGGAGAGTCTATGTCAGAGAGAAGTCCAGAATCAGAGTCAGAAGCTGAAGCAGGAGAATGGGATACGGGATAGCAGGAGGCAGAGATGATCCTGCTGTGATGAGCTCACCTCCCACCTTGATTCCCAGAACCAGAAGAGGCATGAAAAGGGCAGAGAAGAGGTTGTCTTCACATAGGAGCAGTCTCCACTTGCTTGGAAAAAGCCCTGGAGAGGTGGGGGAAGGTGGGGGACTTTCAGTCTCGGCAACTAATCCATCAGGCATGACCTACCGGGGATGAGCTGCTGTGCTTATTAGGCTTGACACTCCACCAAATTTGTGCAGACTGTGTTCTTGCTAATGAAGAGCTAACTCCAACTTGCATGGTGTGAGAACCAGTGTGGTGCAGTGGTTAAGAGCTGTGGAGGAAAACCATAGCCATCATAGTGAACAGCCATTGAAAGCCAGTGTGGTGTAGTGGTTTAAAGCGGTAGACTCGTAATCTGGTGAACCAGGTTCGCTTCTCCGCTCCTCCACATGCAGCTGCTGGGTGACCTTGGGCTAGTCACACTTCTCTGAAGTCTCTCAGCCTCACTCACCTCACAGAGTGTTTGTTGTGGAGGAGGAAGGGAAAGGAGATTGTTAGCCGCTTTGAGACTCCTTAGGGTGGTGATAAAGCGGGATATCAAATCCAAACTCTTCTTCTTCTTCTTAACTCCTGACAATTACATGCCAACTTCTAGTTCAACTGGACTGACCTCTTCATGACCACAGCAGTTGTGAAAGACCAACTGTGGGAAAGCCTACAGAGGAAGGGGGAGAGAGAAGTAATATACCCATTACATGCCTGATTTCCTGGAACAGCCAAAAATCTGACTCTTTTCCTGCACTCCTCCCACATGATCAAAGGAACTAAACATTTTCTATGTACGGGAGGTTTTTTTTGTTTCTTCAGCTTTTTGTTCTGGAATTCACTGCTTGAAAATTCTGGCCTGTTTTTCCCTTATACACATCGCACTGCTCCTTACATACTGAAAAGGGACTGACATATCTGTCAATTTCTGTTTCTTTTCTTCTTCTTTTTTAGTCTTAAGTTCAGTTCTCCATATTTCCATATAAGTTTGCATTTTTAAAAAAGTCTTCATGAGAATTCACCAGCATTTTAGTGTGATTTTTGCCTAGTATCCATTTTCCTATGCAATTTTCTGCAATATACACATTTTCACAAAGCAATCTTCCCTTATGCAATTTCGTATGTTATTTTCACTAATCTGTGCATTCTTATGCACACTTTACCCAAGTGTATTTTTTCCCCTTTTGGTAACCATTATTGGTGGAGAGCTGCATTGCAAAATTTGGAGTAGTGCCAATTTCAAAAGCTGTTTTTTGGTTTGTGCATTGATTCAGAAGCTGCAAATTTGGTAAGTAAACCTTTAAGCATGGGCTGAATCAAATTTATTCCCCATTCCTAATTATTGTATTCTAGTGTGTGTGTGTGTGTGTGTGTGTGTGTGTAATATATATATATATATATATATATATATATATATATAACATTTGAATGGTTTTAATTGAATGTTTTAATGTTTTGAGAGCCACTTTGAGGACTCATGTGGAAAAAAAATGAAACTCTATTGAATAAATACAAATAAATGCTGTGGTTCGCAGCACCTTCTGATTTTTTTTTCAGGTTTTAGGCATGCCCGGTAATTAGCCAATTTTGTGGGGGGGGAAATGTCTAAGTTAACAAAATGAAATTACAGGTTATTATTTCTCAATGGAGTCTCATGTGGTCCTACTACATCATTTGAAGAATTTTGCACTTGAAAGAGATGAATAATGAGTTGATGGCCGCAAGATATGCCTTGCAAGTTACTGGAAGAGATATTGCTCCTATTTCAGACTGTTTTGGAAAACATGGCATATTTTAAGAAATATGGGGAAATGAAAGCAAATTCTGATTTTTTAAATAAGAAAGTGGTATTTATTTATTTATTAAAGAGTTTTGGAACAATGATTCATCACTGTTGGCAGCAGCAAAACACCAAAGTACTGAGTTCATGAGAAAAGACTGAGATGCACCTGCAATCTAGGAACAGGCAATGAGACAAAAGGGTTCCTTCATTTTGTAAAAAAAAATACTCTGGATTTACTTTTTGGAGTCCATCAACAGCTATTGCATACGCTCCAACATTTCTCCGCTGAAAGCAGGGACGTCCTATTCCATAATAATAATAATAAATTTATTATTTATACTCTACCCATCTGACTGGGTTGCCCCAGCCACTCTGGGTGGCTTCCCAACATAATAAAACATTAAAAATAAAAAAACTTCCCTATACAGGGCTGCCTTCAGATGTCTTCTGAAGGTTGTATGATTACCTATCTCTTTGGTTTGGGGGGGGTGTCACATAACTCCATATCCTCCAACATTTCTCTGATGAAAATAGGAATGTCTTAAAGAAAAGTGGAACATTCTGGTATCAAATCAGAAACTGGGATGGCTTTTGTAAATCTGGGACTGTCCCTGGAAAACAGGGACACTTGTGTCTGCCATTGTTATTGACTGCTATATGCAACCTCCTGCATCAGAGGAGCCATGCTTCTCAATGTCAGTTGCTGGGATACAACAGCAAGACGATTGCTGGATCTAGTCCAGCATCCTGTTCTCTAGTCCAGCAGCCAACCAAAGGCCTGCGGGAAGCACACAAACAGGACCTGAGCACGACAGTACTATGTCAGCTTGCGATTCCCAAAAACTGATATTCACAGGCGGAATGCCTCTGACAGTGGAGGCAGAACACGGCCCTTGTGGCTAGGGGCTGCTGATATAACTCTCCTAGTTGGTGGCTGTCTCTTGTGGGAGCGAGTTCCACAGCTCATGCATTGTGTGAAAAAGAGGTTCATAGAATCTTAAGAGTTAGAAGGGACCCAAGGGTCTTCTAGTCCAATGCAGGAATCTCAACTAAAGCATCCATGACAGATGGCCACCCAACCTCTGCTTAGAAACCTCCAAGGAAGGAGTCCCTTCCACTGCCGAGCAGCTGTCAGAAAGTTTTTTCTGATGTTGAGTCTGAATCTCCTTTCTTGTAACTTGAAGCCAGGGTGCTTTACACAGCAATATTTATATGCATCCTGAAACTTCCAGCATGCAGCTCCGTCGAGTCTGAAAGGCGCTATGACAGAGCAAATAAAACTTTTGTCCACTTTCCCCATGCCTTTTTTCTTGACACGAAAAAGTCCTATATGATGCAACCTTTCATCACAGGGAAACTTGCCACATCCCCTTGGTCATTTGGGTCGCCCTTTTCTGAATCTTTATTATTATCATTAAGAGATTCCACATTTGGGTTGACGGAGGGCAGAGTGCGCGAGCCCGGGCAATGTCCTTTGAGGTCTCCTCGAGAGTAACCCTTCGTTTCACAATTGCGCAACACGGGCAGGGAAACCTCTGCGCGGCGCCAAGAATCCTGACCTCCCTTCCTCTCCCGTTTTGCTCAAGGGCCCATCCCTGGCGGGGGCTTATCCTTCTCGCCCGCCCTGAGGAAGGCCGAGGGGTTCAATCGTCCCTCTCCCGCCTCCTCTCCAGGCCCCTTGGCGGGCCCGCCCGCTCCCCTGAGGGCGAAAGCGGAGAGGGGCGGAGTCGAGGGCCGCCCCCACTGCCCATGCGCAAGCAGGGCGAGTGAGTTTACCGCCTCAGCAGCAGCCGCTGCTGCTGCATTTAGCCATAGCGGCTCATCGCCGCAGACAGCGCCGCCGCCGTCTCTTTTGCTCCTCCTCAGGCCAGAGAAGCCAGCCAGCCATGCCGCCTCCGGGTCAGGTCCGGATGCCGGACTGGGACGCCCTGAAGCTCCGCGTGCGGAGCCTGATCAGCTCCCACCGGGTCATGATCTTCAGCAAGAGCTACTGCCCCTTCTGCAGGAAGGTGAGGCGCGGAGGGAGGAAGCGGGCGTCGCCTTGGCAACGACCCGGCAAGGGCAGCGGGGGCGTCGGAGGCCCGAGGAGGCCGCGCTGCCCGCCGCCGGGAGAGGGGGGGAACTAGGCCCCCCACCTCTCGAGGGAGCGCCTCTTCACAGCGCAGGCTCACGCCGCGCCGCGGTGGGAGTGAGGGGCAGGGGGCGCGCAGACAGGGCCCTGCTGCCTTCAGTATCCGCGGAGACGCCCGCGCATCCTCCTCACCGGACAGCCCGCTCCCTTGAGGCTTGGCTGCGGTTGCGGGGTGAGTGTCCCGGAGTGGCTCCCCCAGGGTCGGCTTTGTGAGCGTCGAGTGACCAGAGCCTAGCAGGAATGGCGAGGGGCCTCGACCGCCCTCTGCCTCGGTGGATTTTATTGGTTTCTCTAATGGCATTCCTCTTGCAGTCACCTTTTCCTCGCCCTCCTCGTTCTTGCAAGGCTATCCAGATGCTTGGAAAGGCTGGTGCGAATTCTAATCTGATTCGGTGTTTTAACTTATTGTATGCGTTAATGAGACCTCCGGGTATAGGGGCAATGCTGTATATAAATTCAATTAATAATAGTAATAATAATGTGTAGCAGTTTCCACACACATACCCCGGTTTTATGGTTTTAGCTTTTTGTAAACCGTTCTGAGATCTGCTTGCAAGCAGGCTGTGTATAGGTTTTATGAAATAAACAAATAGGTTTAATCTCCCTTGCCAGCTCTGTGAGGTAGGTTAGGCTGAAAAGCGGTGTCTGGGCCAAAGGTCACTCAGTGAGCTGCATGGCTGAGTAGGGATTCATTCACGCTCTTGCCTCTGACACACTAACTACTACACCATACTGTCTCTCGATGTTGACCTGGTATTGCTTTATTGGGGGAAAGGACACGATTCAAGGTGGGCCTGAACTAGAAGTCCGAGTCTTCATAACCCACTGCCCTTCTGCTTCAATGCCAGGGTTTCCTAATTAATTACCAAATGGACTAAAATTTTAAAGATGCTGTTTTGGAACGAAACCTCATTGAAATAACAGACAACTGTGTCCAGGATCAGACTTCAGATCTGTTTGTAGGTCATATGTCTTTGATCAGTTTGTGGAATCCAGTTGTGATTCCTGACTTACTTTATGTGTTAGAGGTGTGGGGCATAAGATTGGAAATAGAAAAGGCAGTAAAACCAGTATCTATTAAATAGGGATTAAATGTGGTGTTTTTTAAAGACATATTTGGGACCTGTAGCTCAAAATAAGTTCACTTCAGCTGACTTGAAGATAGCTCAGCTGTGTTAGGCATTTAACTGGCTAAATCTGTCATTCAGGGGAAATATGTTTTGATCATCAGAAGTCTGTTAAATCTTTTCAGTGGGGATGAAGAGCCTGAAGTAATCGTAGGGTGGTAAATAAATAATAATAATAACAATAATAAGATTAATTAAGGTGTGTATTTTTCTCTCCCTTTGGTGTGTCAGGCGCCCACATCAGAGCTTTTGAAATAAAGGCTTCCCTGATGGAACTAGGGATGGGCAACAAGTCGAACCGCAAGAGACAGTCTCTAACTTTATCTTATGTTTGTGGCTGCAGCTAATATGTATTCTTTAAGCAGATAAGCTGATGATTAAAGCTTCTATAATATGATCATGAGGAACAACAGATCAGTTAGATGACATGTTCATCTCTTATTACTTGTGCACTTTTTGACATGTCACTGGAAATGGAAGTTTTGTATTAAGAGATTTGTATGATTTAATTGGTTTCCTAGTCAAAATATTGCTTATGGACCACCATAATGTTTTTAAGTGTGGTTAGTTTTTGCATGTCACATTGACATGTAAAGGAAAGGCTGGGGAAAAGAGGAAACAGAACTCTGTGTTGAGCAAGTGCTTTTTCCTGGCCCTGTACAGCTCTTACCCTCTGTATGGAAAGTCATAACTGGTCCAAATCAGGAAGCAATCTAATACCAAAAATGAGTCAGAGCAGAGCTAAAAAATTATATGGGTAAAAGATCATATGTTCTTCTTGAACTAGTTGTCAAGACTGAGTATGAGTATAGGCTACTGTGTGTTGAAATCCCCTTACACTACCAGAAAACAATCAAATAACATAGTAGTAAGCAATTAGGGAGCTGAAGTGAAACGTTGATAGTGAATTAACACAAGTAATAGGTAACAGGTAATAGTTATCTAAATAATAGTAAAGGCTTTAATATCCTCAAACGGTGGAGCCCGGACAAAGTCCGGAAATGGATCCTGGAGAGAGACGCTCTGTTAGATACCACAAAAATACAGATCCCAGGGTCCTCCCACTGGCTTCCCCGACTGAAAGCAGTCAAAATATGCGCCAACTACTTGGCGAATATCACCAATCCCACTCTTCGGAGAGCCTTTACTATGGCCCGTTTTCAAACCATTCCTACGGCCTATCTGTCAGGCAGATATGCAAAAATCCCAGTAGAGCAGCGGATATGTCCTTGTTATATGAGAACCAAAGAGGATCTCATACATTACATGTTGTATTGTCCCATCTATTCGGCCTTCAGGGATGCGATGTTACAAACTATTCCTAAATCAATAGTCAACTCTGAGGACCAAGTAAAGTTTTTACTGGTAGACGCTGATCCACGGATTTCTCACGTGGTAGCGGTCTTTGTGGTGAAGGCTATGAAAACTAGGGTATGGTTCCTGGATGAAACGGTGAGGTCCCTCCCATTGCTCTCCTAACCTGTTGCTGTACCTTTTTCCTTGAATGGTGGGGTTTTTTGGGTAGTTTCCTTGCTGGGACAACATGGCATGAATTTTAGCTTACTTTTATAATCTTTTTGGTTTATCTTTTAATAATGTTTTATGGTATTTTGTGTAAAGGCATGGACCTCACAAATCTAATAAATTTGTTGTTGTTGTATTATAGTAAAGGCGCAAACCAACAATAGAGTGAGAAGGTAAATGAAGATTTCTGGGTCAAAAAGTGGACTTGTCGAGATTAGGAGACTATGTGGCTCTAGATACATAGTACTTTTTAAAAAAGCTGGTGATTGTTTCTTCGTGTAGCATTATTTGGCTAACCATATAATAAAATCAAATATTCTGTTTTCCCCCACTGTCAGTTATTAGTTACAGTAAGCTGATTTTCAATGTATAAGGAAAAGGCACAAAAATATAAAGTATTGAACCCAACAGACAATTATTTGGTTGATTAGTTCAAAGGAGAGAATTTCAATCCCTCCCTTGTTAGGGTTTAACAATGTAAAATGTGTCATTTATAATTAGCGTATAATAGATTGTACTGCTTGGTATATTTATGAAAGGTTGTATTTAACATCACCAGAAGAAGGCACCATGAACAACAGTTATTTCCCATCCCCTCCTATTCCTGAGCATTCATGAAAAGCTTCTCTATGGGGTTTAGGAGAACCTACGCAACATTATGGGCTGTGTCTTATGATGCTGTAGTCACAGTCATGTCCAAAGTCCGTTTTGGGGGCCTAATCTGGCCCACAGGTCTGTTTAATCCTGCCCCTGTGGCAGTTTATTTCCTGGGGTAAAATCCTTAAAAAAGCTGAACAACTTCAATCCTAAAAAAGGTCAACAACTTTGGACTTTGGTCAGCCCCCACGGCCCTTCACTTCATCAAATCTGGCCCTCTTTGAAAAAAGTTTGGACACCACCAGGGGGAAATAGTCTATTCCTGAGATCTTTGGATGAGTGTTGCAGTATTCCTTTGCCTAATTTGGGGTGATTCCACCTCCCGTTGTAACCTTGTTAAGACACAGCCCACAGTGTTGGGCAATTTTTCTCCCCTAATCCTGTTGGGGATGGGGGATGGGCGGGGAGGGAAAGATTGGTTGCATAAGGTCCCTTCCACTCATGTGATGCTGGATGCAACTTGAAAGTCACAGAGCAATTATTTCAAATTTTTCTCTGACGTATCTTTTTAGTGGAGCTTACACTCAGATGAGCGTGCATTAGATCACAGTCTCAGAAGTAGAAATGCCTTAGTTCTTTACATTTGTGAATACATGTACAGTTGTACCTTAGTTTTCAAACGCCTTGGGAGTCGAACGTTTTGGCATGCCAAATAATTGAAAACTGGAAGTGATTTTTCCGGTTTTTGAACGTTCTTTGGAACCTGAATGTCTGACGCAGTTTCCAATTGGCTGCAAGAGCTTCCTGCAGCCAATCGGAAACCGTGCCTTGGTTCCCAAATGTTTTAGAAGTCAAACGGACTTCTGGAACAGATTCCATTTGACTTCCAAGGTACTTCTGTAATACTAGAGATAACTGTAGATTGCTACATGCGGTATGCTTGGTTCTGGTGTCTCCAGGTAGCACATAGATCACCTGAAAAAAGCAAGGAGCCATTCAGAAGCCACCAAGACCCTGTTTTCCTGCTTGCATATAGACAGCAGCAGCAAGGTGCAGAAGTGCATCTTGGATTTGAATGTTGAATGTTGTATTCACAGGAATTGTCATTCTCTAATGATATAGATTGCCATACACAAAAATCTTCACATGTAAAACGTTTTGAGTAAAGCCTTGTCCTTAAACCATTTCACTCATCCCAAATGTTAATAAATATTCCACACTCTAACCAACTGAGCTATCCAGAGGAGTTGTTTTCAATGTTCCTCAAAGCAATTTTGCATTTGGAAAAAAACTGAAGAGAAGTCTTCAGGGGACGGTTCCCAATGTTTTTCCAAGGTTTTCCCCAGGCTTCCACAGCTCTGAGGTAAGCTTTTTCTTCAGCTCTTCCTAGATCAGTGCAGTGATACAGGTTTTCTGGAAAACATTAAATTAGAAACTTTCCCCATTACCCTAAATTGATTGGCTTATGATAAGCAAAACAAAATGCCACTTAAGCATGCTGTTGTTTTTATATGCTGTTTAAAAACTGTCAGAATTTTTAGTGGTCAAAAGTATTGCCCTTACAGTGCAATCCTATGCATCTCTGCTCAAAAGTTACTGCCCTCTAAAAGTGTATAGGATTGCAGGCTAATGTCATTTGGAGTTTATGCATTCATTTTGAAACATGTTTTGTTGAAATACTTATGTTTTAAAACATAATTCAATAGCATGCACTTACAATTTTAAGAAAAATGACACAATTTTAGCAGGAACAAAGAGCTCTAGAGACAGATATTTCCTAGGTATAGAGGCCACAGCTTTGCATACACAGGATTGTGGGTTCAAATGTCAGCATCGCCAGCTACTGCTGGGAAAGATCCTTGGAGATGTGCTGCCAGTTGGTGTAGACAATACTGAGCTAGATGGACCCAGTGGTCTGATTCATTGTAAGGTGGTTTCCTCTAGTGTGTGGCTGGCTGCTTGAATCCAGGGAGTTGGCCTTTCTATCCTTTTTTTACTTTCTCTGTAGTAGTATAGCCCAGGCCTGCAGAGCTTCATGTTGTAACCATTTGGCATATTCACTGATAGGCTAGTCATCTTGGATGATAAGTATTGGAGCATTGGATGTGGCTTAGAGGTCATTGCTGGCTGCTGGTTTTACCTCTGTTCTAATTATGGATGTTTGTTAGTTTTAACATCTGCTGTTGGTTACAGCTTCCGCCACTTTGTAAGTTCTGTTATAGGTAAAGATATAAAATACCTTTGAATGTTGGGGGTGAGACATTCCCTCCGCCCCAGAACTGATGTCGTATTGAGACAGGTAGATACATGGCTGGATTGGCTGCTTACATGGCATATTCCTGCAGAAAGCAGGTTTGAACTCCCATCAGCTGATGGGTGTGGAGTTCAAATCTGCTTAGTTTTGCTGTGCAGCAACTTCCCCACAAGGAAGTCATTGGCACAGCTGATCTCCGCAGAAAATGATGAGCAGAGAGTTCAGTCCTGCTTTGTTTGGGTGCACAAGTGAACTTATTCACTTGTGCAACCTATCCCTGCAGAAAGCAGGATTGAATTCCTTGCCCACCTGTCCCACCCACCCTGCAGAAAGCAGGATTGAACTCCATGCCCACCTGTCCCACCCACCTGTCAAAGTTGGGCCATGGGAGATGGGGAGTTAAAGATCTAGCCTCCTGGGCCAGAAAGCTTCTCCACTCCTGGTGTAGACAATATTGACTTAATCAGTTAAGACAGCTTCCTCTGCTACACCTGTGAAGCCAAAAGGTCAGATAGAATTATTGTAATAAACATATATGAATTATGACAGACTTTCTCTACAGAAAACATACACATATACCGGGTGATGCCCAGTGTGGGTCATGCTTGAAGTAGACACATTGAAATCAGTGGACTAGCACTCAAATTTTATCTTTGGTAAGTCATAATGCACAAACCGCTTATTCTAATCACTGTAGCACATTCTTGTTTTCTGAGGTTGTGATAAACAGGCAAATACACAATCACAAACAGTCTGGAAACTTGAGATTTGTGAAAGGATTATCGCATATGCCCATCAAATTCAACAGCAGTTTTTTAGCATGCCTGTAGGATGCCTGCCGGGCACCTTCGTTGCATATCTTTAGGCGCCAGGCAAAAATGTATCTCCATAACCAGGCCTTTGGCTGATTTAACATTCTGTGGCCTTTTAAATGTGTTTGTGAGAGGGGGTTTTTTGGTTTCTTTGTGTTATTTTGTGTTTTCATTTTGTATTTTTAAGTTGTAAACTGCCCTGTGATATTTGGATAAAGAGTTGTATAGGAATTTAATAAATAAAATAAAAATAATAGTGCATATATGAATATAAATATGTGTGCATGCATGCATATAATTAGTATCCAAGTCAGCATAATTTATGTTACAAAATCCTAATTGGCTCATAAAGTAGCAGTCATGGGAGCCAGCTAATTAGCTACACAGCAGTTTTTAATGTAGGTGAACTGGTTTAGAAAAACAAAAAGCAGATCAGATGCCAAGAATTGTTCTGGAAAGTAGAGTATCACACCAGACTCTCTTAATAGTACTGTTCATTTAAACTACCACAGTAGCTGCTTCTGTTGAATATTACACTAGCAATATTTACAATAAATTATCATTTTATGAGAGAGGAAATAATTCAAGGGTAAAATAAGCACTTGGCAAATGTTCCTATGTAGTTTTTCCTTAATATTGGGCCTGCAGCTTGTGGCCCAGAAATTATGGATTTGTTGAAGGGAGGACTTGTTCCCATCCGCTTGGTGCCTTATTGCATCCTTGTTAACATCCTTAAAATGGTTAAGAAGAAATAAGAAGCAGGAATTGCTTATTACTAAGGCTAATCCTTGATAATATCTTCACCATCACTCCAGCATTTGCAATTGCCTCATAATGTAGCACTAGTCATTTGGGCGCACCTAACCAGTTCTATTTTACATTGCACAGTTTCATCAGCCTAGTGGGCTGATGAGAATAAAGCAGGGTGGGTTTTTTGTTTTTGAAATTTTTTTTATTTAAAACTATGATTAGACAGCTTGTAGAAGACCAAAAAAACTAATGAAAAGCCTGATAGGTCATCCAATACAAGCAATGGAAATATGCAAATTCATAATTATATTTTATTTAACATTCAGTACTTCCTTCACAAAAAAGTTTTGTTCTGTTTTGTACCTAAGAAATGGGTGCAATTCTCCCAACAGCTTTCTGTTTTTAGTCCATTTCACAATATTAATTTTTACATTAGTTTGCCTCCATTATTCTGTTGAGGAAAGCGCTTGTGACAAATACCTTTGCAGTAGGCTTCAATTATAACAAGAAGTTTCTTTCCATCATTGCATATTTGACTTTGCTAATCAATAGCAGCAAACGGCCATACATTACTGCATTCTGTTATCTTTTTAATAAATCATAACTAACTGCAAACACTTCAGCTGTTTGCATGACAACTCATTCACATGTAGCAATATGCTTTGCTCCTCCCTGGTACAAGTGGGAATTAGAAGCCTAGAAACCATGGCTTATTGCATTTGAACCTTGGATCATGTGTTTGCTCGAGAACAAACCAGAATCAGCAAGCTAAGATCAAGCCACAACTTCATGGTTGTGGTTGGTTTGGGAGAAACAAATCATGTTTGTGAGTTAATGACAAGCCCATATGGCTTGTTGCTTTCAGTTAAACCATGGCTTGTTATTAATCCACATAAACTGGGTCATTGTGAGCTATTTTTTATTATATCTCTATTAAGTTAACCAGAAAATTGCAGACATTATATTCATTTGTACTGGTGTGTAATACCAATGAAACAACTAATTAGTAAATACAAAAACAAAAAACTTGAAAAGCTACATCCAAATTGTAATGGACCCCTTATACTAGGGCTGCAATACATCTGGATTTTCCCGGACATTAATGGAATTTCAGAGGCGGAATTAACACCCAGAGGGAATTTCCGAAAGGTGGCGCTTTGTCCTGGATCTTAGACAAGTCAGTCAAAAAATCATGTTTTTTGGTGTGTTTGTTAAAAAAAGAAAGTTCAATAACTTTGGGTTTTGTCTAAAAAAAGTTCAACAACTTAGAGTGTCCTGGTTTTTACTTTTTGAAATATCGCAACCCTACCTTATACACACACAGTTCCTTTAGTTGTCAGAAATACTAGGTAGAAAGGGTATTGCCATTTAACCCAGACAATATCATTAGCTGGTTTAAGAGAGTATTTTAGACATTAACTTACTTTTCACAAGTAAGGTACAAACAATTGAGGACTTGGATGCTGAGATGTCTTACATGAGCAGAAAGGCACTGGTACTTGCACAAAGCAGTCCTGCTGAACTCTGATTTCCCTGTTCTTCTGCAGCCTCTTTCTGCAGAGGAGGAGGGTGGAATGCACAGTGGGGGTGGGGGCGGAGAGCCACAAACTCTGTGTTGCATGAGTGGAGTTTTGTTCTGCTTTCTCTAGATCTAGCCCTAGAAGTTCAAATTTGATATGGTTGAATTTGAAGTGTTGCACAATTTTGAAGATGGTTTATATGAAAATAATAAAACAACAGTGGGTTAAAATCCACTATGATACATCATTTGGTATAACACAGATGTACAGTGGTACTTCGGGTTATAAACGCTTTGAGTTACAAACTCCACTAACCTGGAAGTAGTACCTTGGGTTGCGAACTTTGCCCCAGGATGAGAACAGAAATTGCACGGAGGTGGCAGCAGGAGGCCCCATTAGCGAAAGCGCGCCTCAGGTTAAGAACTGTTTCGGGTTAAGAACGGACCTCTGGAACAAATTAAGTTCATAACCCGAGGTACCACTGTATTCTTAATAAAATATCTTACAAAGAGATAACCAGTAGATTGAAATTATCTAGCTTTCTGCCTCCGCAAATTGCTTTCACTTGATAAGTGGCTTTAATGGAAAAAATAACTGCTACAAAATAGTATTTTTTTTCTTGGAGAATATGTATATTTTTTTAATAGTAATATATTAAAAATATTTCCACAAAAAGTTTGTCTTACAACCAGCTTTGTAAGCAGTTTGTGATGATAACTTCCCGGTCCTATAAAGGCCTACACATAAGGAAGTCCCATTCAGTTCAGTGGTGCTTTCTGTGAATCAGGTGGGTATGGGATTGCAATGCTATCCAGCCCCACAGAGGTGATGGGAAAGGGGTTAGGATAGCACATAGTGATCCCTCTGCTAGTGGAGAGGAGCCCTTCTGGTGGGGAGGCTATGCCCTGACCAAAGGAAAACTGCTCTTGGCGGTTCTTCCTTTGCCATTAGCCAGTAGAAATGCTGAAATGGGACATTTCAGGATAGCATGCCAATGGCTTTGTGTGCTTTTAAATTATATAAAAGAAAACTAGCAATCTTCCATATAATATGTCATAAACAGTTATAGCCAGCACTTGCTGGTTACCTACAGATGCACTGTATAATTTCATAAGAAATTTTTTTGCACTATTATTCAATGAGAAATAAAGGTTCAATTTTTATGCCTTTCCCTGGTCTCACTTAAAAACAAAATATTTATTTTTGCAGGTGAAAGATCTCTTTCAATCTTTGGCAGTAGAATACAGTGTTCTGGAACTTGACAAGATTGGTAAGTAAAATTGACTTGCTATTTCATTGTTGATAACCATAGATACATTACACAAATGCACACCATTTTACTGAATGAAGGCATCCTTTCAGTCTGCATGAAAGAAAACAACTCCCAAAATGTATTTTTTATCCAGTTACTTAATTTTGGATTTTAAGTAAATGAGTTTTGTGTTGGGAAGTAAAATTTTGTCGTTTTTTGGAATTTTGAAGGACTGTGTCTGCTCTGTTCTTACGAAGCTGTTTCTGTTGCAAATGTAAATGTACACTCCTTTATTTCAAATATTATCTGTTGTATTGGTTGCCAACTTATTAATGATTGACATATCTAAACTTCAGAAAGAAAGTTGCTGACTCATTGGCAAGAATTCTAGCACCAACTATAATCTGAGTTTATTGTTGAGCCCAGGCATTCTGAGATTGATAGTGCTGATTCTGATCCATCCTGGGGAAATGTTTCAGAAGTTCTTTTTCTTTCTTAATTCTTTCATCTATTTTGTACTGCATTGGCTTAGTTTGGAGTGAATGTTTTGGCTTTTTAAAGCATGGTTGTAGGCTTACTTATTCAGTAAAATCCACCATTCATTGGGGCTTTTACCTAGATAATGTTATCTTTATAAGATTGATTGCACAGAGCTCTCAGGCAGAATGAAAGGTAACCCACAGATAAGATGAGAGCTTGCTTAATTCTTTTTACCAATATAAGATGACCAAATTAAATGTTTTCCCCTCACCTCTTTTGTGTGTTACATGATCTGGACCAATACAGCAACATGATGATAATTTTGGATTCTTTTAGCTTTAATCAATGTGTCAGATACCAAAACATTAAATGAATAGTTTGGTTTGATGCATGTTCTGCCACATTTTGCTTGTCAGCAAGTTAAAAGAAAGCTATAATAATAGTAAAATACAAAACTTTTTTTAGATACAACCAATTAACAAAGTAACTGCGGCGTTCATAGGCTCTATTCTTTGTTCTTTGATTGAGGTTTGTTTTTGTTTTGAACAATCATTTGTTTTGTTGATATCCCATTTGTGAGCTTCCTTGGAGCCTCAATCTAGGTCAAAAGGCAGACTAGAACATTAAAAACAGGGGTACATTTGGAAGAAAGGGCTGGTGTTGTTTTGCATACGTATTGACTTTTAATATGCATCAAAGTTGAAAAGCCAGGCTGAGGAAACAAGTGAGTTCTTGTCTCTTATATGAAACCCTCATGCAATAATTGAACACGAGGTTTAGTAAAATCCTTTTGAACTGTATCACTATATCCTAAGGCTTACAATTCTACAGAGACATAATTTTTATGAGTTGATAATTGAGATTGATCTTGTGTTTGAATTATGACTTGAAGTACAAAAAGGATTCTACTGACTTAGGCTTAAACCCAGTTTGCTCTAAAATTGCATCATAGCTAAAAATAAGCCATGGTCTAACATGAATGAGCAACATGCTTGGAGCTCACTTATTAAATTGTACCCACCCTGTTTTAGAAAACATATTGGAGGCTGGCCTTATGCCCCTGCCACCAACCCAACTGAGCGCTGTTTTGCATGTATCATTAAGCCAGTCTGCAGTATATTTCTTCCTAGGTTTGGAAAGGGAGAAGCAAGGGGGTGTCATTTCAGCAGTGTGCATCAACACACTACTCCTTTGTGATAAATCCCAGTTTATATTATATGTGGTGTTACGTTACATGTGAACCAGGCCTTAATGATGCAACGTTGAGGTTGTGAGGATCTAAAGGTGGTTTCACTACCCATCTAGCACACTGCTGGGCTTGTGCTGGCAGGTTGGAGGAGTGTTCTTGTGCGTCTCCATCTACTTTACGGGGATTAAAAAACAACTTTCCCCTCCATTGGAAACAGTGTGAGTGGAAGAACAGGAAGAGATTTAGACCAGTTCGTGAGCTAGTCTAAATCTCTCTGCATTTGGGGAACATACTGGAGCACTGGGATAGTCACTCTGTCTTTGGTTGAGCCACAGCCACGAGAAAGTTGCCGCAGGGAAGGGGGAAATTTGACATCGGAGCTCACAATCTGATGTCAGAGAGGGAGATCTGTTGACAGATCCCCTTCCCTATCACTGCAGCATCTTCTGTGGCCATGGTGCAGCCAATGTTGGGACTCTGGTTTGGCTAAAGCCAAAAGGTGGGCATCCTCCCAGGGGCCATAGATTGCTACCTCAGCTGAATAGGTCTTGCCCTCTGCACAGTGCTTTATAGATTGATCAGTTTATTTATTTGTCAGCAAGGTACTTTGCATTTCATACTGTACTGGAATGTTAGATTTTGGATTTAGAGAATTTTCAGGTTCTTGTTAGATTCATGATGTTAAGTCACTTCTTTCATGTAAACTGCCCAAAATGAATGAATGACTGAATGAATAATTGTATCTGCAATCTGCTGCATTGCTGGAGCTGAGGCACACGGATCAATCTTAAATATAGTTAGTAAAGACCAGTCAACTGCAAATCATAATTTATGAAGCTGCCTTGCTTCAAATAATCATAGTTAAGATTAACTACGTTAAACTAAACAGCAGTTAATCTAAAACAGATGCAGAGAAATTTATAATCTGCTTGTGACCATGTAGCTGAAGAAGATGGAGCATTGCTCAAGCTCATTCTCCATAGTGCTAAACCATGATGAGTCTTTCATCCAGATGTGGTCAGTCTGAATGAGATGTTTTCCTGATTCTTATCTGCCATACTTATGTAACGGCTTTATATAAATTATCTTCTGTTTTAAGCGCCACTTTTATTATAGCTGGTGGGAATAGTGTCTCGCAATGCATAGATCTTAGCAGAGTTGTAGGTTTTAATTCTACCCTCCCTCTTCTCTCTTAGATGAGGGGCCCAGCATTCAGGAGGTGTTGCTAGAATTGACAGGTCAGAGGACTGTTCCTAATGTATTTGTAAATGGAACTCATGTGGGTGGATGTGATCAAACTTTCCAGGTAATCTCGCTCTTCCTCCTCTTGGCATGAAAATGAATTGTTATGAGATAATGATTATGCTTTTGTAGCTAGCGTCTCCAAACAGTGTCACTTGTGCTATCTTGTTATGCAGTACATAAAGTTTGGAATTCATAAAGTTGCAACTATCCTTTGTATCAGGCTTGGGAAGTGTATGCACCAGTAAGAAGCAAACAACCACCCTGTTTTATATGGGTTCTTTTTATCAGGAGGACTTCAGGTTACATTATTGATATCTACATTTCCTAGTATTGCTCTTTCATTGCTGTTGTTGTTTTTAGATGTGCAGCCAGAAACGATATATGTTTACTTTTGCCTTCTATTTTCTTTCCCAATAAAGAGTGTATAGAATTGTGGTACTAGCTTTAAGTTTTCTTAAAGGTCAGGCAAGGGCAAGGGCTTCCTTATCAGGACAGCTGCATCTTAAATGAGTAAAACAGACCCTGCTCTTAAAACATCTGTACTCAGTGAGTTTGTATCCAACAGTTCTACTACTCACAGAAGGCTCTTGAATTTAGTGGAGGGTTCAATGAATGGAATGGGGAGGGAGGTGTTTTTGGCAGAGTTCCCCTTACTTCTGAGACACCCTGTGTCGTCACAAAACTATGCTTCAGAGGGCAAGGTAACCCTCTGGAGCAGAATGGAAGGTGGTGCAGGGCACTACAGGAAAAGGTAGGATTTGTGGAAAGTTGCCTTCTCCTGCTGCTGCTAGATTAAAGAGCTGTCCATTTCTAGGAGGAGAGCATTGGATATAACCTAGCTTTGTAATACTAACAAAGTATTCTGTATTCTGATTTCTGTGTCTTGTGTCCTTTTTACAGGCTTACCATAGTGGCTTATTGCAGAAGCTTTTAGGGGATGGGAAAGGCGAAGAGATGGAAGCCTACGATTATGACCTAATTGTTATTGGTGGTGGTTCCGGTGGCCTTTCATGTTCTAAGGTATGAACTCTACAAACAGGTTCCAAGCATATAGTGAATTGTATGTGGTTTCATATTTTCCAACCGACTCCTTACATTTTTAAAAATCTCATTCACAATACCTCAGCAGCATTCCATATTTGAGTGGAACCGCAGTTCAGACCCTTGCCTGACCAAGGTCTTTTGACCCTGCAGCAAAAGGGCTAAAGAAACCTGGCCTGGTGTGTGGGTGTGGGTGATGATGTTTCTTTGAGAGATTCAAGTTGCATTCTTCAAAACAAAACAAAACTGGGATTAAGTTTCATTGAATTAAGTGGACTTTACTTCCGAGCAAGCATGCATAGGATTGTGCTGTCAAGACTATTACATTATCTCTGAGCAGCCAAGAAAAAGGGGGTGTTTGTATATAACAGCAAAAGAAAACCTGTGACCTTCCAGATGTTCTTAGAATCCCAACTTTCATCAGCCACCACCAGTGTAGTCAGTGGGTCAAGGATGATGGAAGTGGCAGGGCAACAGCATCTGGAGGGCCACAGGATCCACATCCCTGGAGTATGCCATCCAAGTTAGCTTTACATACGAAAGACCCTGCAGTCTAATTACTAGGAAATAGCTCTTGAGGATCTAGTCATCTGCTTATTAAGAGAGGAGCTAATGGATTGCTAGGTTTTGTGTTGTGTTCGAGAACAGTTGTTCCCAAACATTTCTCCCTGTGAATGACTTGAAAATGGCTGGTGCTCTTGGCATACCACTTAATGATTTTCTGCCTTGGGGAGAGAGATTGCTATTGTGATAATTTAATAAATAAATAAAGTAAAATAAATAATGCACTGCACAAGATACTGTGCGAGTTTTAATTGTGTTCTTATTGCTTTTATTTCTTACATTGTAATTTATTGTATTACAATTTGAATTCCATAGAATTTAAATTGTTAAACAATAAAATATAATCTAGGAAATAAAAGAAGTAATAAAAATACAATTAAGAATCAAAATACATATTTAGTGTGCCACAGACGAAGCTTGTGGATCACTGATGGTTGTCCAGTACTCAACTTGTTTGAGAATTAAACCATTCATAACGCATGCCATAAATTTAAGTTTAACGCCCCTTCTTCTCTTGGAGAAGGAAAAGGATATTAATTGACAGAAGTCTCTTTCACCTGTATATCATGATACTACAACACACCTATTGTACATATTTAGCCAGTGGCAACTTCTTATTCACATTTTGTATTATCCTCAGTTTGGGCATGGGGGGAGGGAGTATTTGAATGTATGGGAAATCTTTGCATTCTAGAGAGTCCTGGGGGGCATAGGTGAGAGTCCTAGGAATAAAACTGCTTAGAAAATAACCCTAATGTGGTAGAAGAAACCAAGATTTAAATCAACTGTGAGAGGTGAAAAAAGAAATGTTTCATGTAGGGTGTGTCTATGCGTGGGAGAAGTAAGGACATATAGCTAAGAATGCTAGTGTGAATTATGTGCTAAATTGCTGTGTTGAAGAAACATGAATAACTGCATTTCAGCCAGTGGCTGTTCTCTTCCTTGTCACAAATGGTAACTTCTGTTCCTTAGGGCATAACTGTTTTCACGAATGTGAACTGTTAAACTGCACCTAAAAAGGGACAGTCTTCTACATCTGCATAGGTCTGATGTTCACTTGTTTGTTATTTACAGGAAGCTGCTTCCTTAGGAAAGAAGGTCATGGTGCTAGACTACGTTGTGCCAACACCACTGGGTACAACATGGGGTAAGTAGTGATTTGAACAGATTTCAGTGTTGCTACTTAGTCAGCCAACTAGCATGTTGGGGGTTGTTCATTCATTAGTGTCTGTTTTGCTGTGTGCTCTTGAGCATAACATATAGTCAATGCGATGGCTTTCTAATTTCGGCTTTCTTCAAATCCTCACCAAACCTCTCTTTAGATCTGTGTCCTACAAAAAGTATTATTTGGCTAACGTTTTTGTTCGTATGGAAGGACTTGAATATTTCTCATCAAAAGAACTCTTAAACCTATGCAGCACAAAATTGGAACCATGGCCATTATGTTCCCATTACATAAGCACATACTGATCTTGTGACTGTGGCATTGGCTTCCTTGTTTTAGGTTACGGCAGCAGAATAATGACTTTAACAGAGTCGTGTTCAGAGTGCAGTGTAGTATAGTGTAGTATAGAACAAAATGTCTATGAATCCATTTATCCAACTTTGATTCTCCTTCAGTGCATTCTAATGACATGATATGTTTAAAAGACTGGATATGATGAACTCCATGAGTATCTTGCCAGTCAGTCGGTTGGTTCCAGACATGCAAGCGGGAGGGCCTCTAATCCAGTGGAGGTTGCTGCTGGAGGGAAGCAACTTTTGCAAATCCCTCTTTCCTTACCTGCAGTCCACAGTCTTCCACACTGTTCCAAAGGATCCCCCAATCCTTCAGAGCAGCTGTAGGGGGGAGAAGGAATGGGGGGCTGATTTCTGCTCCATTCGTGGTTGTTCTGATCCAGCCCAACAACTAGTAGCAGAGATGTTGAAGGTTTGTTGTAGAAATGTTCACTAGTTCTTATTCTGTAAGGTTATATGAAGCATGTGGTCTTCACTGTAAGCCCTGGAATTTCACTGCTGGCAGCTTTACAAATAGCTCAGAGGGCTTATGCAATCCCCTGGTGGCATGACAGGATTCCTTGCCAAAGTTGATTGTATCTGAGATATGCTTAATGTACACTCTTTGTTTCTGATATTATTGGGATAGAATTAAACCTTTCAACAGCCATTCAACCACTGGATTTTATGGACCCCTAGTGATGAGTGTGCATGTAAGGTCTCAATTCACATTTAAATTTTCCTGATGTATAATCTGCATGGTTATGTGAGTTGCACCATCTAAGATCTTTGGATATGTATTTCTTAGCTTCTTCCTTTCCCACAGGCATGTGTTGCTCCCCACCATGTACACATACTGTGTACGGAATTGGAAAATTTAGTCATTTTTAGTTTGGTAATAATAATAATAATAATAATAATTTATTATTTATATCCCACCCATCTGGCTGGGTCCCCCCAGCCACTCTGGGCGGCTTCCAACAAAACACTAAAATACAATAACTTATTAAACATTAAAAGCTTCCCTAAACGGGAAAGCCATTTCTGCTAGTAAATGGTAAAGCCATTTCTGCTAGTGTGAGGCTTGTTAGTAAAAATATTGCATTGCATTTCACTTTCAGTTTGTATACTGCTTTTCTATGTTACTATACACAAGACGGTTTGCAGCAACAAAACATACAACAAAGAATTCACACTTTATAGTAATCTGATCCAATACAGAAAGTCACAATAAAACATAACTTTAAAATGTAACTACTTATATCAAATAAATTAATATTCAATAATATCAAGTGCCTCTTGTTTCACTTCTGTCTGTAAAAGGATACATAGAACAGGGCAAAGGCAGGAAGCCTAAATATGTGAAGCTGTGTCAGTTGTCAAGTCTTAACCACCTTTAATACTGCAGCTGGAACTTTGGTGAGGCTGGGGAAGAGAGCTCACCAATATTGCCCTTTCATTGCTGCCAGCCTCCTATGCAGGAGATAAGAGGAAGCTGGCTGTGAATAATCAAGCCTGGTGAGAAGAGTCACTCCCTCTGAACTTAATTTAAGCCAGACTGCCGAGGTTTGGAGTGCAGTCAAAGGCAGCAGCTACAGCTTTATTTATTGCGTGTTACCTTTCTTTTTTCCCTTTGTTCTTATGTATTTAAGCCTAGATTATTAGTTTTGCAGTAATGAATTGAATCAATGTTTGACGGGTTGTTGATTTTGTCCTATTTGATATGTTTTGTAAACTGGAAGACATTTGTTGCAAGCAGCTTTGGGCATATGTAAAGTAGGCATATAAATAAATAAACTTGATCAATAATGTTGCTCGGCACGCAGTAAGGGTTTGTGTTGTTGACCGTGTATGTAAGGTATCTAAGATACGCCAGCAGTTCTGTGCATCCTAATAGTAGGTCTTACTTAATACAGTACTGTTAATGAGAAGTTTCTTAATTAAATGTACACTTTGCATTTCAGGACTTGGCGGCACTTGTGTAAATGTTGGCTGCATTCCTAAGAAGCTGATGCATCAGGCAGCCCTGTTGGGTCAGGCACTGCGAGATTCAAGGAAGTATGGCTGGGAGTTTGATCAGCAAGGTTTGTAAGAAAGCAAATAATGTATTTATGGGAGGAAAGACCAATTGGTGCATTTTAATCTTTGGGACCAAAGCCCTGAAACTGGTGTAAAGTTAACTAGGCTACTAGCATGTGCTAGTGAAGGAATGTAAGGGATTTGGGGTGCTGCTTTCTCTCCCCCCCCCCCCCCTTTCAGTAGGCTATTTAATGGCACCAAGTGATTGTTCTACATAAACTTGCGCTTGTCTTCTTTATACATCAGTTTTTGGAATCTTCGAGAGTCACTTGTCACTATCTTTTCAAAAGTTGTTGGTGTAGGTTGCAAATTTTATTGCAACTACTGTCTGTGTATTTATCTGCAAATATTGAAACATGAGACCTATGAGATCATTCTGAGTACCTGCATTTGTTTCAGTGGGGTAATGCAGCCCAATCCTGCTATCTGCTTGCTCGCTATATGAAAATTCACTTATCTGCATTTAAAGACTTCTGCCCAAGCCTCACTATACGCTCCACAGAGTCACATATATGAACATCCGGCTTCCTTATTTCCTTGGTTTTTTGTGATGTGCTGCTTGGTGGCAGCCATTTTCGGGCAGAAACCATGGGAAGGAGGAGCAAGATCAGATTAATAAGAGTAGGAAAAGTCAGACAAATTTGTTTGTTTATTTACTTTGTCTGTCTCCTGTTGATTGGCTGCAGTGATTGCAGGAAGAAACCAGGGAGGAGAGTGAGCAAATCTCACATTGGAAGTGTTCTCATAGGAAATAATGGAAATTGTAGACTCATTATGCAAATGTGCGACTAATGATTTCATGGGAAGGCATTGTGTTCATTAAGCAGCACATGCATGTATTGGTTTCATTGGTGGGATCTGATAAATTAATTTTTGTATGAACATTTCTTTTAGTTAAACACAACTGGGAGACCATGGTAGAAGCAATTCAAAATTATATAGGATCATTGAACTGGGGGTATCGGGTCGCCTTGCGTGATAAGTCTGTGACATACCTCAATGCCTATGGAGAATTTGTTGGACCACACAAGATTAAGGTACCTGCAGAACCATGTCATTGTTGACATTTGATCTATTCAGAAGTATTGCTTCTATAATCATTACTGTGTATGAACAAGTTAAAGTGATAGATTAGGAAAAGCAATACTGTTTAACCTATTTTGTTTCAGTTGCAACTGTATGGTCTTGTACAACATCAAACACCTGAAAAAGTATTACACAATCGACATAATGGATATATGATTAGCCACAAATGAAGTTGCTCGGCTGAATAAGTTTTTTCCTAAATACGGAATTAATTAAACTAGGGTAGATATTTTGCTATGTGAAAAGAGGCAGTTGAGAAACAAGAACTTCAGTTTGTACTAAGTTGTAATTGCAAATTTAATTCAATACTGTAACTACATGAAGATTATTTTAATTTTTAGTGTTAACTATTCACAAGTAAAACAACATAAAAATCTGCATGATGTAATACGGTTGATAGATTATTCAGATCAGTGTGTCTTACTGCCTTGTAAGTAATTCTTGGTAAAGTAATTTGCTGGCAGTATCTTGGGGAAAATGCATTGCTGTGTGGAAAAATACCAGTTATAAAACTTTCTTTCCGTTGACTAGGCAACCAACAGAAAAGGACAAGAAACTTACTGCACAGCTCAGACATATGTTATAGCCACAGGAGAAAGACCGCGATATCTTGGTATCCCAGGAGACAGAGAGTACTGTATTACAAGGTGAGCTTGAATTAAATGACTGCTTTTCGGTAGATTAAAAGGGCTTCTCAGTATTTAAACATCAGTGATAATACTGTTTCATTTTCAGCGATGATCTCTTCTCTCTGCCCTACTGCCCTGGAAAGACTTTGGTTGTGGGAGCTTCTTACGTAGCCTTGGAATGTGCCGGATTTCTTGCTGGACTTGGTTTGGATGTCACAGTTATGGTACGCTCTATCCTTCTTCGTGGCTTTGATCAAGAAATGGCAGAGAGAGCAGGAGCCTATATGGAAACCCATGGTGTAAAATTCATCAAGAAGTTTGTTCCTGTTGAGGCAAGTATCTCCCCTGGTTACGTCAGATAGGAAAACGCTGATGTTTGAAATCTTTTTGTGCAACTTTGAGCAATATGGCATATGTGTAAACACAGTTGGGAGGCGGGTTTTGCCTGCAAAGGCTAATAAAGTGAACATTGTAATAAAACAGTATTATGTGGGTTAAGATAAAATTCCTAAGTTTATGGCTGTTCCATGCAGGTTGTAAAGTTGGAGGAAGGCATGCCTGGAAAACTGAAAGTGATTGCAAAATCCACTGAAGGAATACAAATGATTGAAGGAGAATACAACACTGTAAGTGCTCTGCACTTGTGATTTTTGTTTAAATTTATTATTGTGGGGAGGTTGGTAAGTTAGTTATTCTTAACTTGGCAGTGCTGAGACTTAGGCCAGAATCTAGCAGTAACTGCTGCTGCACAGCCTGGTTCAGCGCTCTAACCCTAACACTTTTGCAACAGAGTTCATTGCTGGATCGCTCCCTTTTGCTATCTAGTCATAGAGTTGGCCAGATGGTAGCTTGTCATGAGCATGTTGGAATCTATTTTTAGACCCTGAATAGTTTTTGAACTCCTTTTTAAACCACATGTGGGGAACCTTGGGCCTAGGAAGAAGAAGAAGAGGAGGAGGAGTTTGGATTTGATATCCCGCCTTTCACTCCCTTTAAGGAGTCTCAAAGCGGCCAACATTCTCCTTTCCCTTCCTCCCCCACAACAAACACTCTGTGAGGTGAGTGGGGCTGAGAGACTTCAGAGAAGTGTGACTGGCCCAAGGTCACCCAGCAGCCGCATGTGGAGGAGCGGAGACGCGAACCCGGTTCCCCAGATTACGAGACTACCGCTCTTAACCACTACACCACACTGGCTAGGAGCCAAATGTGGCCCTCAAGGCCTTACCTGTGTGGCCGTTGGGTACTGTTTCCATGCCACACCCCTCACCACCCTTGCGTCACCCCCTCCAATTGCTCTGTCCACTTTTGCCTCTGGTCCCACCTTCCACTGGCATTTAGCCACCTGTAATTGCCTAGAAGGCAGTGCAACCCTTGAGCTGGAAAAACAGCAACCCTCCACCCCTTCTTTAAACCAAATAGTGCTGCTTGGATTACATGAGAGGCTTTTCAATACAGGACCACCAAAACAAGATACATGATTCCTTTTTGTGCAGGTTTTGATAGCTGTTGGCCGTGATGCTTGTACTAGAAATATTGGCTTGGACAAAATTGGTGTGGCAGTTAATGCAAAGTAAGTATTCCAACTCTTTAATTAATCTTGGTACATACTGAAATTTGTTTAGAAATCAGCTTTGGTCTTTTAACAGACTTTCTAGAACATCTACTTTCAGAAGTCTGTTCTAAATTATCACCTAGAACCCATGAGCTCTTAAGGGTGAAACTAGGTATCTTAAGCATGCTGACAAAATTAGTTTAAAACTTTATGCCTATAAATTCCTGCATTTCACTATTACCAGTTGTTAAAGTTGCAAATCCATCTGTAGAGCATGAGAATCTTAATCTCAGGGTCGTGGGTTCAAGCCCCACATTGGGCAAAAAGATTCCTGCATTGCAGAGGATTGAACTATATGATCCTCGTGGTCCCGTCCAACTCTACAATTATATGAAAACCTGCGTAATTTTTCAGTTTGCAACTTAACTACAGCAGGCTTTATTTATTTTAAATTAGTATGAAGCCAAGCAAAGAGTCTACTTCCCATTAAATTAGTTTAATTTGTTTTATAGCTTAACACTTAGAGAAGCATCTGATATTATTATATCAAGGATTAAACCTCATATAGCCTAATGAGTGTAGCTGTTGGAATCTGCTCATTATAGAAGTTGATCTGGCCTGACAAGTATGAAAAATTGTGTGGTACTCATTAGACGTTAATTTTCTTCAATATAGTGCGACCAACTGGTATTCTGATGTCTGTCTTCACGTATAGTAATGTCCAAGGCCACATGAGCAGATTTCCCTTTGTTCTCTTTCCCATGTCATCCTAAATCTGCTCCAGAGGGTCCCCAAGCGCTCTAGAGCAGATGGGTGGGGGGAGGGAATTGCTGCAGGAGAGAGAAGAGGAAGTTGTTCCCTGAGTGGATTGACTTCGTTGGATGTCTCTCATTATTAAGTGTAATCAAATCGTAGCACTATGTCAGTGTTAACTTTCCCCCCTTCCATGTAACAAGGAATGGGAAAATACCTGCAAACGACGAAGAACAAACCAGTGTGCCTTACGTCTATGCTATTGGAGATGTTTTGGAAGGAAAGCCAGAACTTACACCAGTTGCCATACAGGCAGGCAAGCTGTTAGCTCGCAGACTTTTTGGAGGGAGTAATATAAAGGTAAACGTTCAATTTCTTATGGTTATTACTGCTTGCGTGCTCAAATAGTTTTTTTGAAATGGTCTTCTGATATGGTTAAGACGCCTGGAATTGGCTCATCCATGTTAGTGTCACCACTTTAAGTAACTTCTGGTCCAGTTTATGCACCATCAGTTGCTCATAGCATTGGACTTGTGAATCTCGGTGGAAGGCACTGATCCCTCTCCAACTCCTGGTATAGCCACAGCCATTTTTTGTATTTATTTATATGCCACTTGATTACAGTAGTCTCTAAGCTGAGTTGTGATTGCATGGTGACTATCTTAAGCTCCTAACAAAATTTGGGAGTACTACACAGACTGAATTGAACTTTGGAAGAGTTTCCAAGAAACTCTTCTCATTGTGAGACTTTTGTGGGTGAGCTGAGAGCTTGTTGGACCCTGTGTGAGAATCCAGAGACTGAGATGGAGGGTGTGTCAGAAGGAAAATGAATTGATACTGATTTTTATATATTGGTAACTTTGTATTACTGTAACATTTGTATATGTAACACTGTATTTTTCTAATATTTTGTTTTAAGTTGTCTGTTGGTGCTTCAGTTTTCTGTATACTGCTTAGAGATATTTTAAATATATTAAGAAGAAGAAGAGTTTGGATTTGATATCCCGCCTTTCACTCCCTTTAAGGAGTCTCAAAGCGGCTAACATTCTCCTTTCCCTTCCTCCCCCACAACAAACACTCTGTGAGGTGAGTGAGGCTGAGAGACTTCAGAGAAGTGTGACTGGCCCAAGGTCACCCAGCAGCCGCATGTGGAGGAGCGGAGACGCGAACCCGGTTCCCCAGATTATGAGACTACCGCTCTTAACCACTACACCACACTGGCTCTCAGAAGTCAAATAATCAAAGCAAATAATCAAAAGGATAGGGCTAGTGACTGCATCATATTGAAGCATCCTGAAAGTTGATGGGGTGGGGTGAGCTTGGAAACATATACACTCTTGGTTTTTGAACAGAATGCATTCCAGAAGTCTGCTCAACTTCTGAAATGTTCAGAAACCAAGGCGCGGCTTCCGATTGGCTGCAGGAGCATCCTGCAGCCAATCGGAAACCGTGGAAGCCACACTGGGTGTTCGATTTCCAAGGCATAGTTCGCAAACTGGAACACCTGCTGCCTGGTTTGTGACGTTCAAGTTCCAAGTTGTTCATGAACTAAGCTGTTCGAAAACCAAGGTACGACTGTACAGACCAGTATCTATGCCCTGCTTTAAGTGTTAAGCTTGGGCTGCTGCTTTTGCTGCAAGAGTATAAGCTACTGTTTGTACTGTGGCCAGTGCAAGTTTTATAGGATGGTTGTTGCATTTTCATCCCAATTGCTTTTATGTGTGAGTCATAGTGTACGCTTTCAATTTTAGTGTGACTACATCAACGTACCAACTACTGTGTTTACACCTCTGGAATATGGCTGTTGTGGATTATCGGAAGAACGAGCCATTGAACAACTTGGACAAGACAATTTAGATGTGAGACTGAAATCTTAAAACTTTGCAATTAAATATGGGTGCTCTTTGGGGTATTAATATATGTGCAATCATACTGTGCCTCATAATCTAGTTTATTTTTGTAGGAACAGTAGCTGACCTGATATATTCTCCTTCCCGAAGAAATCTCCACAGAATTTTAGGAACTGTGTCCTCACAGCCCTGTTTCCCTAGCCCAGTGTTTTTACTGGTGGAAGGGTAGTCCCTAGCCCTCTGTTGAAGTTCACTCATACACACAGGCATTTTCCTTGACAACATAAATGTGGGGGTGGGGACATTCTCCCACATGCTTTTGTCCTTTTCCTTTTTGCAAGGATAGGGATAGCAGCTTCCCTTTCTTTTTCATCCCGAGGGTGTAGGTTTCTGAGATGCTTGCACACACCACTTTAGAGATACTGTAAAAGTGCAAGGGATATTATTAAAAGCGCAGTACAAAGTCATTAAAGGGAAAACAAACTTTAAAGGCCTAATTTTCTTTTCCAGGTGTATCACGCGCTGTTCTGGCCACTTGAATGGACAATACCCAACAGAGACAACAACACTTGCTATGGAAAAGTAATCTGCAATAAGCTTGACAATGTACGTATTCTGCTCTAAAAACATTTGTTTTCTTGCATATTCATATTATCCAAAATATAAACAAAGCCAGGGGACATCCACTTCAAAGTTGTGTGGATTGTTCTGCCCAGGGTGCTAAAATGTGGGAACAGAGAGTTGCCCTATAGTGAGTCAGACCATAAATCCATCCAGTTCAGTATTATCTCCACTGACTGGCAGTGGCCGTCCAGATTTTCAAGCAAGAGACTGCCCTAGTCGTACCTGAAAATGCAATAAATTGAATTTGGGACCTGCTGTAAGCAAATGCTGTACCACACTGACCTACAGCCCTCCTCCAAGTGTACTGTAACTTAATTTATCTGTTCTATTTTAAAACTGTACTAAAAGCAACTTGCGGCTTCTAATTCCCTGGCTTTATTTAGCTGCTGCTTATTGAAGCCACAAAGCAGCTCAGCTTCTTGGAAGTGCCCAGCTGAAAATACTCTAGTGGTACACAACGTGGGACAGCTAATGAAGTTGTCTCACCCTAACTGGCTTGTAACCACAACCCTGTTGTCTAGACTAGAGTAGCCAATGTAGTGCTCTCCAGATGTTGTGGGTTACAACTCCACAACATTCCCTAAACATTCAACCCCTGAATGGATGGGGTTGATGGGACTTACAGGTAGTCCAGAGTATATGGAGGGCAGCCCACTGGCTGTCACTGGTGTAGTGACACACTTTCAATTAACATAAACTCATAGTGTATTTTAAAGGTAAGCTTACATAGTTCTATGTGTATTTAAGTTTGGGTCTGTAAGCAAAACTGCATTCGTGCATGAGGTCAAAACTCACTGTATCACACTGGAAGCAGGAATCTGGTCAAAGCTTTATGAAAGATGCTACTGCTCTTCTGAAATGGTTTTCTTAAAGTAGTGTGAGAAAATGTATTCTTGTATTCTGTTTTTACCATGCGTAGCCTTCATTAGTGGAGCTAAGTCATCAAACTAATTATAGGAAGGATGAAAACCATCCTTCCTATAATTCCAACCAGCTTGTTGGGGTTAGACCTGTTCCATATACCTTTCACGTGGTGAACAATAGAACTAACCCTTTTCATTGGTTTCTGCCCAACTTCTCATTAATGTGATGTATCAGTGGTTATCTTTATTCTCATTTATTTGTACAGTGAGTGAATACATTTGTATATGAGCTTGTGGCTTAGAAATGAATAGATACTAATAATTCAGTTTAAGTACTTTTAATAGCGGTTCTAAGCATCTCACTTTGTATTTTTTCCTGTTCTCAATTGGTGTAACATACTAAGGTAGTGTCTGGTATGGTGAAATTGATTGCCGTCTCTATTCATGTTGGAATATTGGAAACTTATTCAATATTCAGATTGCAGGGTTGTTTTTTTTGCAAATGGTATACCAGAAGTAGGCAGAACAACTAGCAAATAAGCAGCTGCCTACAATTTAAGGGAAAATACTAACTGGGACAACTTACCTCTCTCTTCTCCCTCCTCCTCCCTTTTAATTGAAGAACCGTGTGATAGGATTTCATGTTCTTGGACCTAATGCAGGGGAAATTACACAAGGCTTTGGAGCAGCAATGAAATGTGGTCTCACAAAAGAATTACTTAATGATACGATTGGTATACATCCAACTTGTGCAGAGGTAAGAGTTTCATTACCACTCTCATCTTATAACATACGTTTGTGGCATTTTGAACTGATTTTCGTGTCTACAATAGCTTATCTCTTAAGGATCTCCTATCTTTAAACAAACAACCACTCCTTGTCCTGTTACATCTCTTTGTTGCAACACGTTTTCTTTTTTCTGCCCACTCCCTTGTGATTCTTCTCTAGAGACCTACAGTATTTACCTTTTTCTCTCTCTTGGGGGTCCTGAGATAAACACTGCCTAGGAGGCATGACACTGAACATTACTCTTTAAAACAAGTCTTTGAAAGCACGTTTATAAATTTTTGTGCTTAAAGAATCACTGCTACCCTTTTTTTCTTACACATTGGGGGTTGACGCTCACAGTAAGAGAATTCTGTGTTGGGCTTTTAGTCAAATTACACAGTTGCAGCAGGAATGGTGTTGAATGGAATGTGGATTTCTGAATAGTATTAAAAATAATAATTTGTGGATTTCCCCCCTCTCTTTCAGGTGTTTACTACAATGGATATTACAAAGGCTTCGGGGCAAGATATCACTCAGAGTGGCTGCTGAGGTTAAACCCTGCTGTTTTAAACTGTTTCCTGTTGGTCCCACTTACCTATGTTGAAGATTTTAGGAAGCATTCAGATATACACAGGTAAATGAATATCTGAATGCTGTATTTTGCTACCACAGACATTGATTTTCTAAAACTTCAATGGCAGGTGGTGGTGTCTGCAGGAAATGGCAAAACAGCAGGGGGTAAACTTAATCCTGACTTGCTTAGAAATGGCACTATTGTGTATTTTTGAAGCTTTGGCTCTGAACCCCATCTGGAGGCGAGTCATGGCTGATTACTTCTATGCAAAGTTGGGAAAACCTATTTGTCCAGTCAGTAGAGATTCCTTCCAAAGGAACTTCTGAATCATCCAAGTGAAGTTTAATTCTATTAATTTCAGGGCTTTTGTACAAATGCAATGGGCAGAGTGAATGTATAGTTAATAACATTGGCTAGCAACAGCCATTGACCTTGATGGGTCAGTAGTGCATTTTGTTAATTGTTAACCTGAATGGTGAGATATGTTTGCAATGTCTATAAATATCCCTGTTTACACGGTCGTAAGTTGGAGAGCGAGTTTACGAAGTTAATGTGTTATGTCCCCATATGCATCATAGCTCACAGGACACATAATGGGATGACTTGATTATTTTATCAATAGGTACTTGGTCACCAGAGAAAGCAGTCATCCTAAGTCACAAAATTATCGCTTACAATTTTTGGGGGGGGGGGGTTCTCTAGTTTTTCCTTAATAACTTTACCCCTGATTTTAGCCCCGTAGTTAACTACTCAGAAAAAAAAATTCCCAAGTAGAGTCAAAATTGTTTCATGGTAATATTAATATGTTCCCTTTTTATGCAATAAGTGCATTGTTTCAGCCATAAAATGGAATGCATTTGGTCTAGATTACTTGTATGCAGGCGATTAGCTTGAACTTTGTCATAGCAATAAACACTGGTTTATTGTGCTTTATAAAAATTCCAGTACAGTGAAAACCTGAAGCCCCATTGGCATTCCCTACTTACTTTGAGGAATGTATACTTGAGTTTAGTTTATTCTGTGATTAAAAAGTATCTTCTGAAATGCATTATTTCATTATCTGTTCATTATCATATGAACAGGTTTTTTTATCTATTTATGGTGTATCATGAATTTAAAGTTCAGTAAATGAGCAATGTAATGTGTTGTGCACTGTCTCATTCCTGAGGAAAAACTTACCTCTTTTCAAAGAGAAATATCTCTTAAAACTCAACATTTGGAGACCCAGAAAAGCTTATGGGATGGGCATGTTACTTCCCCACGCCCCACCAATCATAAAAAAGCATCGTCCAACAGTATGAGCAGTCTAGCCTTAATGGCAATCATCGTCTTTTCTCTTACTGGGGTACTGAGATGGTGGGTGAGGAAAATGGCACAAAACCCAATGTTTTAAAAGGGTGCTTTAATAGTGGTGTTGGAAATATTTTAAATACAGAAACTTGAAGCCCTCGGTTTTTCAAATGCGCAGAAATTCTAAGTGTAAAATTTGCTGTTGCTGTCCCTCTTAACTTAAGGGTGCTCCAGCTGTCTGCTAATGTAAGAGGAGGAGGAGGTGCCTGCTGAGTCAGTGAGCTACAGCTGTTTTACCAAGATGTAAAAAAATATTTTAAAACAAAAGTCTGTTGCCCACAAAGGGAATATTAATAGCAACATCAGACATCAGAAGTTTTACATGCCTTACTGGAGGCAACTGCTAGATAGCAGATGTGATTCAGAACAGATTTAGCAGGAAGAAGACGATGTCATTACACTGAAAATATTAGCAGCATGTGAATAATTCCAAATTAAAATCAAAGTATCAGTGCAATTTAAATTTCCGCCTTTCTCCCTGCTTATGCACCACCCTTTTACTTATCAGTGATTTTAAACCTTTTTTTTTCTTTTTTGTCATAAGCAGGGATAAACATGGGCAAACTTTTTCTGTAAGTTGACTGAATGCTAATATGCTCTTCTGATTCCATAACCTTCCATGTTATTCATTAGGCTAGTTCTCCTTGGGGCTTCTTCACAAGCGTATACGCACAAAGGAAAAAACTGCACACTAAGGCAAAGCAAATTTTGTAGTGTGGCACACACTTCATGTATACATGCGCGCGCACACGCACACAAGTTTACCCTGTGGGAAGGATTGCAACAGAGGGATGCAGGCCAAGACCCACTCTGAGCCTGTGCCAGCTGGACTGTCCCGTGCTGCAGAGTCTTTCTAGTACCAACTGCCCTGTGACCTTCTTGTATGTTCATATCTTGTGTGTGTTTATAAAATTGTAATGTTAATTTGTATGCCACCTTGGAAGGCTTTGTATCCTGAAAGGTATAATATTACAAATTGTAAAAAATAAAGAAAATTGAAGCAGTTGCTGAAGGGTACAGTAGCCATGCTCTCCACATGACAGGACTCCTATCACATATGAACTTGTAGGAAACCTGTCAATCACTGCTTTCTAAACACAATACTCAGTTCATCACTATAAACACTTGTGTAATATGTGACCTGACAGGTGAACACTGCATTGGGTGTGCGTTTCCTTCATATTCCTTGTGCCAGTTCTTTGGTTGAGCAATGATCCTCTCTTCACACGGGTTAAAAAGAAACACATTGACTACTTGGGGGGGAAACAGAAGTCACAGCTACTTCAAAACACCAAAGAAGCCTTTATAGAGCCTGCCTCTTACTTTTATGCATTCTACAGTAATTCAGATCAATAACAAGAAGCAGAGTACAGGACCGTGTTGATAATTACATTTAGATAGGTTTTTTTCAGTTTCCATCTCTGAGAACATCAGTAAAAGAAAGGCTGAGACCTTACATGATTTTGGTTTATGTTTTAGCCAAGTTTTGTTAGCTGAAAAGTGCTCTACATTTTCAGCTGTAGTTTAAATGCTGCAGGAAAAATGCTGATTTCCTGAAGGTGTGGAGCATTACAGATCTTTGGCCAAGGCTCTTGTCTATTTTTATTGGACCAGCTCTGTCGACAGGTGTTGGGCAATTAGTTCTACCTTGGAAAGTGTTATGAAACTCCCAAGGATTTTGTTCCTGATAACACTGTTACGGGAAGGCATGATCAAATTTTAAATTAAATACATAAGCTCACACCAATAGTAGTTGTCAAAGTACTTCAAGCTTCTCGTAACATGTAATTTCAGGACAGCTCAGTTGGTGGACTGTGAGACTTAATCTCAGGTTGTGGGTTTGAACCCCATGTTGGGCAAAAGATTCCTGCATTGCAGGGGTGTTGGCCCCTTCCAACTTTATGATTTTATGCCAGCTAAATTTGATGTATCAACTAATCATTGCACATGCAGAATAACTAAATCATGTCACTACCACTAAAGAACTTACCCTTCTACCTTATATGCCCCCCCCATCTGTTCTGGGTTTCCCCTCAACTCTGGGGCAGTGTAGGGTGGGGGAGAAAAAGAAAGTTCCATTGGACTTTTGGAAGTTACCCTGCATGCACAATGATTTGGTTGCATAACCATAACTCTGCAAATGAGGTTAGTCCCTTACCATGACAGGCCAAGTTTGGGTAAGCATATGATTCTATTCCCATGTTAACATAACATTGTAAATGAAGCTGTGTTGGCCCATGGGAAATTCTGAAGTCTCTATTAAGGCAACAGCTTTCTTCAGCCAACCAAAATGACAAAATAGTGCACACATCTTCTTGTCACCTAAAACTCTTCATCGGACTATCAGGCGCCCCCAAACTCGGCCCTCCAGCTGTTTGAGGACTGCAATTCCCATCAGCCCTGACCACTGGTCCTGTTAGCTAGGGATGATGGGAGTTGTAGTCCCAAAACATCTGGAGGGCCAAGTTTGGGGGTGCCTGGACTAGATGGTAAGCTGAGCAATGTGAGCGAGAGAATGGTCTGGTGTAGAAAACCACGTCTGCTTTGGCTCAGCTTCCAGAGGAATAGGTGAGGAGACCAACCTGATGCCCTCTAGGTGTTTGGGATAACCCTGTGTGTCAGCTGGGCTGGTCTGGGATGATGGGAGTTGTAGTCCAAAACAAGGGTACCAGGTTGCCATCTGGGAACATGAAGCATTAGCATTAGTAAAGTCGGAAGCACTGTATCAATAGCAGACCAGGGGTTGCACTAGATGACCCGCAGCGTCCCTTACAATTCTATGGCCACTGTGAAAAGAGGATGGCCCACTGGCCTGATCCAGCAGGCTAGTCTCATGTTGTGGTCAAGTCTCCCCGGCGATCAGGCTTTGCCCTGGAGAGGAGATGGATTTCCTTGCTGTGTTTCGCGCTCCTTCCTCGCCTCTGAACAGGCCTTTCACGGGAGGACCAGGTCGCGCTACCCGCCCCGCTGGGAACCGGCGCACCTGCCCGCCCTTCGCGCGCCTGAGGAGAGCCTCGGCCTCCAGGCAGCTTTCAGAGAGGCGAAGCCCCGCCGCGCCGCCCTTTCCAGCGGCTTCACCTCGGCCTTGGGTGGGAAGGGGAGAGCATAAGCATCCCGGCGTGGGCTGCCTTAGACCCCGTCTTAGGCCCTGGCTGCTTCTAGGCGGCGCGCAGCAAGAAAGCCGCCGGTGGGGGAAGTGCGCGCGCCCTCCTTGGCCGCCCACGCTCCTGGAAGCTTCGGGCGGGTTCCGGAGGTGGAGGGGGCGCGCGGGCGGTTGCCATTCCCACCTTGCCATCCCCAGGGCCGCGGTGTGAGAGGGCTTCCCTCGGGAAGGGCGGCGCCAGGCGGCGAGGGCTCGTCACACCGAAGTGGGAGCGGGAGAGGCCAGCAGGAGGCAAGGCAAGGTCCCGTCCCCGCATTCCCTCAGCATCCTCGGACCCTTCTCTTCCACATAGCCCTCCCTTCTTCTCATTCCGCAATTCCCCCCCCCCCCCCAAGCAGGGCAGGATTAAAACCTTGAGAGAACCCAAGCACTTGGAAGGTTTGGGTGTTCCCATATTATATATGCATCTAGTTCAAAATATAATCAACAGTAAACCATAAAATGAAACGAATTGAAGTGAAACCTACAGTAAGATGGAAAATAATGCTTATTTGTGTGTACTTCCACTTTACTTGTATTGGGGGGGGGAACCTCCCCACTTTTCTAATTGTAAAAATGTCCTTGATCAGAGCCTCAAAACTAATGTTTCATTCCATTCTATACTTAGTAGAGATAAGGCATCCAGCCTGGTAGGGGTGCCAACTTGAATAAAATATGGAGGTGCAAGTAAGCCCTTGCCTGCATAATCAGCCACATAATGCAGTGCACATCATGTCATTTAAATGACAGTGCCCGTCAGCTTTGATAGGGCCCAGTCCCCTCAGCCTGCCTTGTTGTGTTGTTGTTCTGTTGAGATTTTTAATGTACTTCAACTGAGAAAATGAATGCTCAGCAATTTGTGACTATTGATGTTAAAAATCTAGCAATGGAAAATTGCTGTGGTGCCCCCTTTCCTTTGATGCCCTAAGCACATGCTTATTTTGCTTAATGGTTAACCCTGCCCTGCCCTGGATTCCAGGATGCAGGAATGGTGAGCGAGGCACCTGGTGCCTGGCACTGCTCCTACCCACCCTCTGCCCCAAATTTACTAATAGTAAGTAGCAGTACAACTGCTGGACTGGGAACTGTGGCATCACCTAACATATCTTATTGTGCTGCCTTTGGTCCAGCAAGGGCCACTGGCGGCTTCTTGTTCTTTCTGTAGCGTCATCTGTGCACATGGTGCTTTGCAAAGGGTGTGTGTGAGAGGTTCCCTGTCCCATGGGGCTAAGAAGAAGGAAGGCAACAGCAGCAGAAGTAGGGAAAAGGTGGAGGAAGGGGAGGGAAACCCAGGCAGGGTTAAATAGATGATTATTTCCATTGCACATACTTGGTATTCATTACAGTAAAGGTAACATTGGCTATACATATACACATTACTGGCCTAAAATGTAGCCAGGTTTGTTTATTTATTTCTCAATTCAGATCAGAACTGGTTTGGGGAAGAACACATCAGAACACAGTATTTCCTAAGAAATGGCAGGATAGATATTACTGTGACTAACGTTGTTGTGGGTACACCGCTTCCCAAACCAGTGGTGGGGTCACAGTGGATGCAGAGTAAATGGGAGTGTGTACATGACCACTGTTTCTGGAAGAAGTTGCCTTTTGTTCATCTGAAGAGCTGTTCTGGATCTGACCGAAGGCTCCTCTAGTCCAGTGTCTTGAGACTGCAACAGAGCCAGCCAAGTGCTTCTAGGAATTCTTCAAGCAGGGAATGAAGGCATCCACCCTTCCCTCATCAATTGAGACCCCAGCAATTATTACTCAAGCAGTGCGCTGCCTTTGAACATGGAGCTTCCATTTAGCAATGATAGCTAATAGCAGTTGGTACACCTATCTTTTCAGGACCTGGCTACATAAAGCCTTTAAAATATCATCAGAGATCTAGTAGCCATCAACACATCTTGTAGCAGCAAAGCCTATTAGTTAACTACGTATTGTGGGAAGACGGACTACCTTTCTTTTTTGTCTTGAATGTACCTCCAATCTGTTCTACCAAATGATCCATAGTTCTAGAATGAGAGAGGGGGGAAAGCTTTCTTCTTCTCAACACAATTAATAACGTAGTACATTCCAGCTCTTCTCTATCTCTATGCAGATTCCATGGTAAGTGGATATCAGCAACAAAAAGAAACTAGGCAGTTATTATATTAGGGAAAATGTAGATAAATTTGGTTTTTAGAAAGTCAGTACAAGCTAAACTGGGGGGTAAAGTGTCCTTAGAGAATAAAGCCCCATCTTCAAGTGCCATAATTTCCTCCAGTTTCAGATCCTGCTGTTTGTTTTTTAATGTTACTTATATTGACTACCTGCCTTCAAAAAAAGAAGAAGTTTATTTTCTTGTTATGTTTCATTGCTTTAATCCTTGTGTTCCACCTTAACAGTCTTTACATTAACAGTTAGTAGTTACCATATTGGAAGGAGTGAGGGCTTGGTACTACTGCAAAAATAAAAGGGCAGGGCAGGGATACCAGTGGGGTGGGGGGAAGGCAGCTGATAGAAGACCATGGGTGAGTAAGGAACAGGAACAGGAGATCAGAAACAAAGGGAAGAGTAATGACCGCTCCCCACATTAAATGGGGCGTGCCCTTTGCGTGGTTGCACGCAGCCCCTGGGACCATATGCGGCACCATTAGCACAGGCTTGGCTTGGCCTTCTCCAGGTGGGATTCCTTGAGGTCTCCGCCTACCTCAGCCAGTTGCCCAATCCCGCCTGTGGAGGTGTTGCCAAGGTGATCAGGCCAGATAGGGGGAGGGACCACCCTGCCCACACAATAGGGGGAGGATCTTACCTGGGAATCGTCAGTTGGCTCCAGAGCTTCTCCCGCCCTACTCACCCTCAGTTAAGACTTCTTTTGCGAGTTAACCTTTTCTCCACAGGTACACGGGCGCTGCTACATCAAGCTCGCTGTTGAAGGGCCGGAAAGGAATTCTCCTGCACTGGCAGGTTTGCCTTTCCAATAGCAAAACATCACAACTTTGGCGCTATCAGGTCTTGGGCGGAATCCTTTAGCCTATCTTCCCTAAATGGGGGTGGGCGTGTAGCGGTGACCCACGCCCTCCTTCTCTTTACGGTGGCGATACCAGGGTTCCCCGTTAAAGGGGTTGTTTTGAGGGGAAGCTTTGGCCATACGCCTAGAGGTTGTCACTGCTCTCCCCTGCGATGGCGGCGTAATGGGGGCGGGCTCTCTCTGCTTGAACATATGTTCTCCAGAGCCAGCCCATCCCTCCCACACACTCTGGATAACCCTGATGTTCCCCACATCCCCAGCGAGGGACTGGGAGGGATAAATGCCCAATGCCTGAGCCAAGGTCTACCCACATCTGAAACATAAGAAAGTTGTGGCCAGTTTTAATCCCATAGCACGTTGTCTTGAGTCATTATTCCATACGGGGCCGCCCAGGGTTTGGACGACTCCACCTGTCCATGCAATAGGTTCAGCTGGTGAGTCAAGCAGTGGGATAGCAAAATTTGGGATGAGGGTGAAGAGCTCAATGTAAGCTATAAAATGTGACACGAAGCAAGCAGAAGGGGAAGAAAGAAACAATTTAAAACTTTAAATTTCTAACAGTAAGGGCTGAAGCCAACTTCCTTGGAAGGTGGTGGGCTCTCCTTCATTGGAGGTATGCGGTTGGATAGATGTCATGGATGCTTTAGTTGCATTGCAGGGGTTTGGACTAGATAACCCTCAGGATTCCTTCCAACTTTCTATGATTCTATGAAAACCGGCACCTTGAACCTGACCCAGAATCAAGATGGCAACTATTAGGTAATACTGTATACTTTTATAGTCGCATTTGTGTCATGTCCTTCATCTGCAGCAAACTTGGAACTATTCCATTTTATCTTAACAACAGCCGGTGATAATTTCTAACAATTTATGACTTCCACCAGGAACCATTCTTATAAAATGTTGATTATCTATAGACTACAGTGCAACCTCCATAAACAAGAAGTTGTGCATTCTTCAAAACGCTGGTGTTTTTTTTGGTATTGAACTAGGTTCATGGAAAACTTGATGTGCACACAAAATCCAAGCTATTTTTACAAATGGGATTTTCCACTTCATTATGTAAATTCATGTTTTTGAATTTCAGGTAAATGTTTTATTGGTTACTAGTATGGTGAATCTTCTGCACCAGCCAGAAATCAGCATAGGGTCTTATTTGTTCTGCACCTACTAGCCAATAGCTTTTGGCAATGGATATAGGCCAAGGGATTACCAGTGCTATAAAAAAGCAAAAGCGAAGAGGTTCCAAGAAAAAAAGGTGAATATGGTACTATATTAAGATTCAACATATTAACTTTTAAATTATCCTTTTGGGTTTATCTGCATGTAACTTTGAAAACATTTTTTGAGTTATGCACCCTTATATGCCTCATTGTTGCATTTCTAAAAAGAAATGGGTTGGATCCAAGTCTAACTTGATCATTTTCTGAGGCTTTAAGCCTTTTCTGCTATTTGTAAATTTGTGAAAGCTGACGGTGGGTATTCAGCAATAAGTTTCACTCCTCTCAGCATGTTATAAAAGGCACCCCCTTTCTCATTATTTCATATGTTCATATACGGAGCCCTAAAACAATCCTGGAAATCACAATAAATATACCCTGCCCCCCGCCCCAGAGCTGAAAGACCAATGCTGAAAGTATCACATAATGTCTTATGTAGGCTCCTGCAAACAAAAATTAATTAAAATGTTAAGTTCTAGTAAAATCAGATTAAGGCTTTATTTTTGAAAAACCTCTTAATTAGAAATATGCATTTTTTTCTAGGCACTTTAGAAGTTTGTTTTGTAGAAGTTTGTGGGCGGGAGGGGGGGTACTTTCTGGCATGCTAGACTCACTGGGATTAGTGCATTCTAATGCTTATGGCAGGAATGTACTTAGCTTTCAGGAACTTTTAACTAGCCTGTATCCAGAAGAGACCTCAGTTACAGTTCCTGCCTTCTGCTCAAGGCAATAGCTTGGCAGTCTTTCCAGCATTCCTGCAGTCAGGCATGTGCTTGGGATCCTGCAGACTGTTTGCTGTGTTTTGT